AGATTTTGTAGAATGTGAGATCTTTCAGGAATATATACAGGGCAGATACATTTTAAGTGGAAAGAATACCATTTGCCACTGTTAGAAAAGTTTAGTGTTGACGAATTGGATGCTTTGTTCCTTGGCTAAAATTGTGGGAAGTCAGGGGAAGGGCTCCAGAATCCCTGAGAAAGCTTTTTAAGATAGGCACAGCCTTTACATCTCTGAAGTCCTACTCAGCAGGGGTAGCCCAGAGCCCCCAGGACAACCCTTGCATTCCACTCCTGGGCTCCTGGACTCTGTCCAGATTGTGTTTCAATTTACATGGAGTTATGCAGAGATTTCCAAAAGCGCATGCCCTAGCCCGACCCTAGAACTTCTGTATTAGAATCGGGACCTCCYGGACAGGGCTTGGGCATTTGTGTGTTTAGAAGTTACCAAGCTTGGTTCAAAAAGGTCCTCCACCTTAAAGGGATAAAGAGTCACCTAGCAGCTTTTAAAATTCTTGATGTGCAAGCCACAGTGCAGACCTAATCACATTGGAATCCCTGCATTGTGGTGGCAGGGGGTGAGGGAGTGGCATGTTCAGGCAGCTCCCAGGTGATCCCATGTACAGTGAAGGATAAGACTACTGTCGTGGGCTTTTCCAATCTGAGAAAGATTTTATACTCAGTAGACCATGGTTTCCGGAACTTCAGTGCACATAGGAATCTCCTAGAATTTGGTTAAGATGCAGATTCAGTAGAACTGGACCGAGACTCTAGAGTCTGCATTTCTAACCAGCTGATCCAGACACACAGTGAGTTGCAGATCTACAAATATTAATAACGACTTTCATTTTTGATTACTTACATGGACTGAGTAAAGTGGCCGCAGACAGCCTGGACACTAAAGCATCTTGTCCACCCAGGATGGTTACTGGTATTTGGCAGAAGTGGTGCAGCAGGCTTTGTGATTAAAAACAAAACAAATGTTTGTGTTACTCCCTCTGTCAGCTCTGGAGTGGTGCTGACAAGAGGCTCCACTGCCATGTGCTGAGAGATGAGCCAGTGTGACCTCTGCTCTTCCCATCATCAGTGAGGTCTGGCTACTGGGCCTCTCTGGAACATTCATTGGATTAATAGTTGCTATTTGGAGGAGGTTACCACACGGTTTTGTTATGTAAACAAATTTGTAATCTCGAGTTATTCTGTCCCAGATATGAAAACTGCATTGCAAGAAGGTTTTAATTATCTGCTTTTATTTTCCTACACCCCCAAAATATATTCGTTAGAGACCTGCTRTGCCCCCTGCCTGTTGCTGGATGGCCACACCCTTTTCAAGTTGCTGTGTCATTATTCTTTCTTGCCTACAGAGCATCTAGGTTGAAATTAGATTAACAGAAAGTTTACCCCCATCAGGTCAAACCTGATTAGCCCCAAAGAGGTAAATCCTCTGTTGTTTCTTAAAGCAGCTGCAAACTAGTCACTAGTGGAACTGGTCGAGGGTGGCAGTCGGCCACCTTAGGAGCCATGTTTACCCTCAAGGCATGAACGTATCCTTAAGAACTGCTAGACTTGGACTTCAAAGAATCTTTGTTTCTTTTACCTCSGGATTTCTGTTTAAATTCTTCAATGCTCAGAATGTGAGCAATCTAGGAACAATAGCCCACCTAGATTTGTCCCTTCATTCCTAATCACACCCGTGGTCCCTTAAAAATGAAAATTTCTTTGGTYTCTTTGACCCCTAGTTCAATTTAGCTTGGGTATCTATTTGGTCTGATAGGTCCATCCGGGCYCCTCTTTTCTAATTAGAATCCCAGTGCTTGACTCTGAGCTGCTGTTGTCCTAGCCACTGGGAAAAATCTCTGGCAGAAAAGCAGTCAATAGCTTYTATCTGAACCAAAAGAGGGGATGAGACTTTAACATATTTATTGAGCACTTACTAGGTGAGTGGAGATGTGCTAAGTGTTCTTTTTTAAAAATAGGTAAAAGCTTGACCAATAAATGGTATTGGAAGATTGAATATCCAGMGGCATAAGGAGAACCTCAATCTAAACCTCATGCCTTCTACAAAACCCAGCTCGAAATGAATTATAGAACTCATTGTTAGAACATAAAGCTTAGAAACTTATAGGAAAAACAGAATATTATTAGGATCTAGGGCCAAAGAGGCCATTAGTGACACTAAAGCACAAGCCAGAAAACTGATAAATTGGACCTTATCAAAAGGTCCAATCAAAGCTCACAGAAAGAGGATAAAAAAAACAAGTCACAGACTAGGAGGAAATATTTGTAAACCAACAAAAGGACTAGTATCTAGAATATATAGAGAACTCTCAAAACTCAAACATGAAGAACAAACAGTTCAATTACAAAATGAATGCAACCAAAAAAGAATATGTATAGTTAACAAAGAAGCACATAAAAAATGTTGAACATCACTAGCAATTAGGGAAATGCAAATTAAACCACATTAAGATATTACAACACACATATCAGAATGGCTACAGGAAAAAAAAATAATGCTTAATACCAATTGCCAGCAAGTATGGAAGAGATTGGACCATTGACCCTTGCTGCTGTGTGAAGGGCCACAGTCACCCTTGTAAAAGAGTGAGCAATTTCTCTAAAAACTAAACACGCTGCCACCATCTAACACAGAGGGTGCAGTCCTGGGTATTGGTCCCAGAGAAATGAAGACCTATGTTTACATAAAATCTGTACACACATGTTTTATTCATAACAGCGAACACTGGAATCAGCCCAAATATTCTTCAGGTGGTGAATAATTAGACGAGCCTCAGGACACACATCAGCAATAAAAGGAATGAACTTGTGACACACATAACTTGGATGAATTTCTGGGAATTGTGCTGAGTAGCGGGGGGGAAAGGTTCTCCAAAGCTTATATACTTTCTGATTCTATTTACATAATATTTTTGAAATGATAAAGTTTTAGAATTTTGAGGACAGATTAGTGGCTGCCRGGGAAGAGGGTGGGCAGGAGGGAGGTGTGTGTGATTATTAAGGGTAACACAAGAGATCTTTATGGTGTTGGGGCTGTATCTCACCTCTGGTGGTAGATATGGGAACCTACATGTGATAAATACTACCAATTTTGTGTGTGCATGCTGAGGATTGAACCTAAAGCCTGTACATGCTAAGCACACACTTGACCTCTGAGCTACACCCTAAGCCCCTATGTCTATAGATTTTAATACACACACAAACACACCACACACACACACACACACACACACACACACACAAGTAAACTGGAGAAATCTGAATAAGATCAGTAAGCTGTATCAATATCCATTTCCAGGTTATGATATTATACTACAGTTTTGGAAAATTTTGTCATTGGAGGAAACTGAGCAAACTTGGAGGAAACTGGGCCATCTCAGAATTATTCCTTACAACTGCACATGAATGTACAGTTATCTCAATAAAATTTTCAATTAAAAACAGGTTTAAAACCATTTGCAGCCAGCCAGCCCTCCAGAAATCTTTAATATGAGGAAAAAGGACAGGTGTTAAGAAGGTAAGTAATAAACAAACTTAGGTCTCAARCCACTATCCTATACAGTGCTCCCACCTTATCCATGAGGGATACATTCAAGGACTTTTAATGGATGCCTAAAGGCATAGGTAGCACCAAACCTTATCATTTAATACCTTTTCTATCATAACTAAATATTTATCATGCACTGTAGCTATAACTTTTGCAACGTGATGTGCAATAGCAAAACTAGTACAGAATTTCTTTCTCCTTCACAATTTAACAGATAGAATATTCATTCTTACCATAGGTTTAAGCAACCTCAGCATGTGGGTTTGTTTTTTTTTTTTTTTTCATTATTGAGAACTCTCACATTTTCAGTTAAAGGAAGAATTTACAGCGTTTCTTTGACCTATCTCAATTTCCAGTATCACCATTGTACTTCAAGTAAAATAATGGTTACTTGAACATAAGCATTGCAATACTGTGACAGTCAATCTGACAACCAAGATGCCTACAAGTGACTATTGGGTGGGTAGCACATACAATGTGGATACTCTGGATAAAGGGATGATTCATGAGTCACGTACAACAAAACTGGATGGTACAAGATTTCATGACAATTTATGAATTGCTTATTTCCAAAACCACAGGAAGCAAAACTGTAAAGAAGAGATGGAAGACTATTGTATGAAGAATGAAAACAAGAATGCCATGAGTTTCTCTGAAGGAAGAAATCACAGTTAGGGATGAGGAAAGCAACTTCAAGGGCTTGGGCCTCGATGGACCAGGAGGGCTGRGCTAAAAATAGGCAGGCAGGTATTCCAGACCAGAAAATGTACTACATGTACCAGCTTGTATGCTTGCTTTGCTTCCCAGAAATAGACAAAATGAAAATGGTAGAAGGTCTTGCGTGCTGGATGAATGTGATAAGACCTTTCCGGGTCCAATTAGCAATTTGTGAGATAATAAAGCAGGACTAACGCCAAGTGAATCACCAGAAGGGAAATTCAAAGTGTGGATGGTTTAGAACAAACCAATTCTTTCCCAGAGCCAAGGGAAGTACATCCTATTAGTAAGAGGTTGGCAGCAGCATTTGTATGTGAGGGCCATCAAAGAATGTGTTCAGGAAAATAAAGGCTGTCTGGTGGTTCAGATCAGTGATGATTAGAATTGCAATAACTAGGCATTTAATCTTGTATTACATGGCTTCAATGATTGAGAAGCCATTATGTGGCAGTCACTATTCCAGGGGGGTGGAATTTATTGATGGCAAACTACACTGAGCAAATTACCTCCCAGATGGGGTTCACCTTCTCTACTTAGGGCTGATTCCTGGTCAGAGAGATTCTTAACATTTCCACACTGTACGTTTGCCATCTCATGACCACAAACAGAAAAGCAAAGCTCTCTGGGGTGACGCTGGGAAGAAGGACAGACACAGCACTTCTGATTTAAGAGTGAGAATGATCTTATTACCCCAGGGTGACTGGAGAAGGAAACTTAAGATGGGCAGATTGGCAGACCTTGCCTCTGAGTTGAATCAGGAAAGTGAGCTCAAAACCAAGGTGAAAAGTTGGCAGTGTGACCCTTGAAGAGAATTCAAGTTAGCCTGGGGTACCCTCTCTGTTTTCCACTCCCAAACTAGGATTAACTTTGGAATCTTCCATAAATGTAGAAAAACTGGGGGCTTTCCAATCCTAGCTTGGGTAAGTACTATTTCAAGATTAATCATAACAAGATGGCCTTGTGTTGTAAAAGAGAGAAAGAAAGAGAGGGGGACATAAGGAGATACCTAGAGACAATGTTTAGACAGGAGATATTCTGCAAGATAGCCTTGTTCATAAAACAGAAAACTAGATACATGGAATTTTCCTCAGAAAGCTAAAAGCAATATGCAGATGAAGATACAAAAACCTAAGCTGCTGGTCACTTTCTACAAAAAGACAACTCAAGGTAAGTGAATCAGGCAAGACTCAAGCRTGGGAAGATTTATTAATATTATCCCTAACCCAGGATTTTTAATCATTTAAAGTTTTTARGYGCTCACGAGCCTCAAATGTCTTGAGAATAAGTATATAAAATGTCTTTGGATTTAGTTACAGAAGATTCACCAATATATTTTTTTTTCCTGAACAGTATTCTAAAAAGTTTCATTTAGTTCCCAGTGAACCCCACATTTCTGTGTCACATTTGAAATGATAATTAGCCATGTTCTATCACTTTGGCCACATTTTGTAGTATGAAAGAAAATACAGACATCTCCTATAATTAAATACTCAATATTTTTGCATGGGCAAAGGAATCTGCATTTTCAAATATGCCAATCCTCTGGCAAAATTTTCCTGCTTCGGTCCAGGGAAAATAATGCTTCAGGCACAAGATCCCTTTTTAGCTTAAGGCTGTGCAGGACTGCTCTTGAATGTCCAGCTTCCATTCAAGTTTCTGGCTGTCCCTKGAGTGAGAGGTCAGCCTGCTACTGACCACTACAAGGTGAGACTCAGTCTCATTGCCTGCAGAAAATGCAAAACTCTTTGATTGGCTTTCTGACTAGCAATGTCCTCAGTTTGGAGATAATTGCCTTTAGTCATACCACAAAGCACAGGTCAAGTAGGGTGGATGTGAAGTCATGAATGTGTGTGTSAGTGTGTGTGTGAGTGTAAGCAAGAGTTCCATAAGAACTTCCATAGATACATGGCCCATTTTATTTAGCTGTATTGCCAGTAAAGAAGCCTGCTAGTCAAAGGTGCTCTTCACYCCAGAATTCAGTTTAAGCCACAACCTGAGAATAATAACAGAGGTTCTTTCCTGCTGCTCCTTAAAATCTTCCACAGTTGGAGGAGGGAGATATTGCCTCCCTTAGCGATGAGTCTAAAACTGCCTTTGTCAATAGCCCTTTCTCTTCTGTTTACCCCTTTTGAGCCTCTTTATCTTTCCCCCAACCTATAGTAATAAAACTGATTTGTCCAATGAAGCACACTATAAATGGACAAGCAATCGCAAAAAGGCAACTTAGCTGAGCAAGGAAGAGAATTTATGAACAGAAATGGAAATGCTGTGTGACATGAAAAGGTTAACGCTGCTGCTTTATTTTGTATTAGTATTTGACCAACCACCTCCGTAAACTTATCTGGGGCATGAATCTGGGGTCACTGGTGTGTGCTGCTAAGTGGCATGTTTAAAGAACTAAATAGGATCAAGCTGGCTTGCATGAAAAGAAAAAAAAAAAGTAGAAATGTGGCTTTTATCTGGCTAATTTGACCAGCAGACAGAAAGATTGGCTCAGTCAAAGCTACCTTGGAACTGGAGATTTGTAGACTGGCTGTTTTAATACAGGATCTTTAGAAAGCTGTGTATAAATTTTTGTTGTTTCTCAGAGAGTTCAGTAATTTGCATTAGGTAATATTTTGTCTTCTACAAATATAAGACCAGATTCCTACTACAAGTCTGTGGGGGGGGAGAGGAAACATGAAGAATAGCCAAAATCATTGATAARTTACTTTTTAAAGGTATTTATTTACAAAAGTCAAATTTTGGCCRCAGTGCAAGCACCAGTCTAAAGTCCACTTGGAAGTCTTTAACATGTAAAATACGAGTGGCTTTCCAGCACAGCATTCTTTGTACATTAATTATTCTTATGAATGTAATTTTGTCTCTTTAAAAATGAGGATTGAAATCATCCTAAATCAAAATTAGGGGGAGAATGAATTTTCTTCCTGGCAGTGTGTTTTCTTGGCATCTTTTATACTTTGTGGATTAATAAAATCAAAATAATACAAACATCCGATCAAAACCATCCCACCAGCAAGGCAAAATCAACTTTGACTCCTTTCTCCAGCATCACCAAATAAACCCTGCAAGTCTATCAGACACATGAAATCCTTACATTTGTACTATGAATTCTGATTAAAATCAAAACCTACCAATTTCAAAAAAGATCCCCCCAAAGAAGTGGTTTTCCCCCTATAAAGCCTATGCCCCAAATCATTGCTTGAGAAACTTTTGAATAGCGAACATTGCCTAGTAAAACACATGCAGTAGACAAAATATCAGATTTCTTTTTCCAGCTGTCCAGAATCCCATTAGTGCCTCTCACTTCTATCAGTCTTTTGCTATAATTAGGATGGCTCAGGGTTTATCTGGGCCTTTTTCAAAACCAGATTTCCTTCCTAGCAGCAGCAGCTGTCATTCACAAGTACCCTGATGGTCCTGGGAGACTTATGTTGATTTACATTATGGTACAGCAATCGTGACTGTAAAGTGAAGGAAAGCGCGCGCGCACACCACACACACACACACACACACACACACACACACACACACACACAAAACGCTGTTGACCTTGTAGATTTTTAAAAGGGGGGTCTTACCTGAGGGTGATCACTCAGGTCTGGAACCTGGCTTGTTGTAAACAGGTTATTCTCCGGCATCCCTTCTCCTTCCAAGTTTGTAGCCCCTTCCTTGGGGAGAGAGTCTGCTAAAGGTGGAAGGGCTCTCGCGTCTTGCGCTGCCTCTGGTGAAACTGCACATTCTCCTGTGTGGAGGTGGGAATCCCCACCAGGAGCTGCTGCTTTGGCCCGGGGAGTCTCTCTGTGACGGCTCCACACTGGTGGGTGCCTGGTGGGTTCCTTGGGAGGGGAAGCGGGGGTGCCTCCTGCTGCACTTTCTTTGGGGGTCAGCTTCTTGGCTTTACCCTTCGCCCCCGGTCGCTGCACCCTRGCAGGTGTCCGGATGCCCTTTCTGCTGCCTAAGTCCCTCTCCTCTCCTCTTTCTTCGACCACAATCTCCAAACCCTGTTTCATCCCTGACTTTTCCAACGCCCCAGATGAGGGCTTCACCTCTGTCTCTGTCACCGCTTCATCCATGGTTAGCAGATTGTCACTGGCAGATTCCTCTCCTGCTTGGTGGCTATCTCTGGTTTCTCCTTGAATTCCTGGATAATCATTTTCAGCAGCCTCAGGCAGGGTGGGGAGTGGACATCTCCCCTGTTCACTCACTAAAGCTGTCCTATCCTGGTGAGGTCCCAAAGCAAGAGTTCTCCCTGTTCGCAGGGATGAGGGACTGTGCCTAGAGGCTCCGCTGCTCTTGATCTCCACTTCTTGGAGTTGTGAGTGATAACCACAGAAGCCAGTGGTGGCATCCATAGGCCCTGTGTCACCCGACACCCGAGGCCCACAACCCATTTCACTGAGGAAATGCTCACGCCCACCCAGGCCACACTCACTGAATTCCGTCTCTTCGTCATCGCTTTCTAATAAAAAAACATGCTCAGTCCCCTGCAGGCTCCTTTGCCAAACTGCATTAGTGTAATCCGTCATAACATCGGAACATTCCAGATACTCCAGGTCATCATCTGAAAACTCCTCCGTGCAGGTTAGGGTTATCTCTGGGCAAAGTTCATAGTCACTGTCGGAGTCTTCGCTGGAWACCTGGGGACTGGGTTGATTGTTGACGGGGGCGCTGTCCCCTGGGTAAATGCATGCTGTCGCCTCTGAGAGTGGAAGACTGAAGCTGATGTATTTCTGTGCTTTGGGGTTTTTTTGAGTAGAGGTTAAGATCTCATCATTAGGGCCATCACTGTTTAGACCTCCATGCGTTGGCTGGGAGACCAAGGAATACTCTGTTCTGTGGCAACATACATCTTGTTTTTGAGGAGTATTATTTGAATTGAGGAAAATTTCTCCTGTGCTCTTTGGATCATCAGCCTCTGCAGGTTGCCTTGTTCCTTTAATCTCCGGAGCATTTTCAGAGCTGGATGCACTAATATCATTATTGGCCAATAACTGGTGTGAGCCTAAGTGGTCGAATTTGAAGGAGGAAGAATCGGCTGGTGTGGGAGCCCCTGAAAAGATGTTTCCTTCTCCCTTACAAGGGTGTTTGCTCTCATCAGTTTGGTTTGTGCTTTTCTCCTCATTTGTCTCTTGTATGTCACATTTCCACCCTGTGTCCCTGTCATCTCCCAGGTCAGGAGGGGGTCGTGGGTTCTCTGATGGACACTCCACCTCAATGGTAGCAGAGCAGCAGATCATCCCCGCAGAGCTTTTAGCTGAGATTTGATAAACGGCAGCATCACTTTGGGTACAGCTAGGATGAAGAGAACACACAGGTAAGTGTGGACACGCACGCCAATGTTTTTCACATCATGGTGCACAAGAAAATAGCTGTCCTTTCACTGCATGCTCAGAGAGATCTGTGGTATCCCTGGAAAAGGGGATTGTGGTCAGCTGCCCCTAGTGCTGAAATCCTGGGAAGTTCAGCATTTCCCCTGACGGCTTTCCACAGTCTCACCCTAAATTGAAAATGCCAATCATTACTTGGATAAATAGAGGAAATGTTTTATTTAGTTTCTCCTTTTCCCCCTTTAAGTCAGTTTTGTGTTGTAGGAATTCGAAAGAGCAATATTTCTTCCTGGAGGGAGACATTGTACACAAGTAACTGAAGTATCGTACCTCATGTGGTGAAACATAGTCAACAGTAACTGCTTTTAAGACCACGCTGAAGGAATGTAAAGACAGCACCACAACAGGATTGTGTATGCCATTTCCTCCTTAATTTAACATGACTAAAAGATCTAAATCACAGCCTGACACCCATTGGCTGGAAACCTATATCCACATGTCATCCCAACTAACATAGATCAAGCCAGGTGCTTGGCTTTGGCCCAGCAGGGAAGAAAAGAATCCTGAATCAGACTGAGCCTGCTCTCCCTGTYCCAAGAGGAACAGTGCTCCTGTGGCTCCTCTATTGAATAGGGCCACAATGAGTTGGAGACTAGCGTGCTTTACTGCCTCATTTCCTGCCAGGATCTTTTCACAGGCTTTGCAGTCCCAAGAAATCTCGTTATATCAGTGTGAGTTGCATKCTTGCTTCTCTTGCATTTGACATCATTGTGATATTGCTGATTTCCCTCTATGTGTCATTTGGGCTCAGAAGTCAACATGCATTTTCAGAAGGCAGGAGCTGTAGGTCTCACTTGGACTTAGAGCAATGTTTAGATCTTCATTGATGATTCCCTGTGTAAAACGGGCACAGATGTCTAACTCAGAGGATGGGAGGCAGTGGTCAATGTTAGACACAGAAACTCTTTCTACCACATACTTTCTGTTCTTCACTGGAGGGAGCCCTCGGCCTTCTCAGACCCATACATGCCCATAAGCTTTAATTCACCAGGTACCTATTCACATGGGCCTTGTTTTGAGAAATCAGAGATCAGTTCCAATGTCAATAATGCTCAAAGGAGTGAACAAGACACGCCACTGTGGGTCAGGCTTGGCCATGAGCTGATATCTGGCTCTGCCCTGGCCAACAGCTCAAGAATTCTGAAATTTAAGACAACTTTCTGAAGGAAACAGTACCTGTTCCTGTCCATTTTGCAATCTTATTCAGGTTTGTATGGGAAAATCAGGGTGAAGGAGCTTCATAAAGCTAAAACTTCACACCAAATGTGTTCTCCAAAAATATGGAAGTGCCAGGACCCGGCAACCCCTGGCTCTTCAGAAACATACGGAAGAATCATCCCAACACTCTACTGGAAATTTTTAGATCAGAATCCCTGGTCGAGGAACTGAGCACATGTTTTTAAAGATCTGGAGCCATTCTAGATCACATGGTCCACGGCCGTGCTCAGAGCTATCCGCATCCTYATCCTCCTTGACTGGGCTTAGGTCTCCTGGTTAAAGCCAAATGATTAGATGAAGAAGAGAGACTTTTGCTGCAGTTTCATATTACAAATGTCACTCCCTTCAGGAACTTTGTCAGTTAATTCTTGGGGTTTTAGCCCTTAATTAAGAGTTTATAGGGAGCATAAAAGAACACGATGGACTACAGGAAAATCCCAAACAATTCAGATTTCCTGACCCTTTTAGCCCATGAAACCTCTGCCACAGTGACCACCTACCCTGAGGCTACCTACCCATGACTTGGGTGGAAAGAAAAGGAAAAAAAGAAAGTAAGACTGAGAGGCTCAAAGGGCCAATTAAGAAACAAGAGGAAGAGAGATGATTCATTCCCAAGACTTAAGGAGAGACAATAAAAAGATTTTTAGAAAAATGTGGAGAAAATAGTTAAGTATATTCAACTTAATGACTAAYAAGAGGTTATCATGACTTAGTCATTAATAATTTTATGACCCATGTGTTTTAGTTGACATGGGATTTATAATCCCTCCTAAGTATACTAAGTACAGAGGAAAAGGAACTGGATTAAGCATAATTAACATCTTGCTGGTAAATGAAGGCCTTTGAGTTATGCTTTGCAGTTGACACATCCTTGATAATTATCGCTAAGTAGCTTACAAAAGAGGAGGAGAAAATTGGGAAAGGATCCCAGTGTCTACTGAGTGCCTTCTATGTTAAACTTCTATGGGTTTTACTCAGCTTTTGTCACTGTGGCCAAAAGACCTGACCAGAACAACATAGAGGAGGAAAAGTTTATTTTGTCTCATGGTTTCAGACGGCCAACGCCATAGCTCTAGGTCTGAGTTGAAGCAGTACATCATGGCAAAGAGCATGGTGGGTGGGATGGGGGAGCAGCTCAGGACATGTCCACAGGAAGCAGAGAGAGAAAGAGCTCTGCTCAACTGGAGATATAAATCCCAAAGGCACATCCCCAGTGACCTACCTCCTCCAACCACACCCCACCTGCCTATAACCACCACCTACTTAATCCATATCAGTGGATTAATCCACTGACTGAGTTAGGACTCTCAATCTAATCTTTCCACCTCTGAAAATTCTTGCATTGTCTCACACACAAGCTTTTGGGGGACACCTCATATTTAAACCGTGACACAGTGTCGAGCTACTCCCTGTGGGCAAAACAGAGGCTCAAAAGAGTGAAGCAACTTCCCCCAAATGACAAAGCTGGGGAGTGGTAAAACTGGAATAAAAAAGCAGACTTCGGATTCCAATGCCTGGCGCCATGTGTGCTRTTAGACAACTACGTTCAGAGAAGGAAACGGTGGGATGCAGAGGTCACTGTGCAAAGGAAGAGTCTCTGTCTCAAGCCTTTGCCTTGATCGATTGGCCAACATGAGCAGGGGATGTGCTAATGCCAATCACTGTTAATTACTAAGGAGAAGCCAAGGAGGTGTGTGAGAAATTCTCAGAGAGCATTGTGGGTCACTTCTGTGCTCAGCTGTACAGTCCACACTGGAAGGAGAAGAGACTCACAGAAGAGACTTCATTGGGAATGGCTAAGACGATAGGGGATAAGGGGGAGTATAGAATCTTTGCAAGATGCTGGCAGAGAGATCTGTGTTCCCCACAGTGATTTCACAGGAATGCAAAGCCACCCCGGAAAAAATTCCCTCAACCAGTGAGCCCCCTCTTTGGCTATCTTTTCTTTTGGTTAAAGGACGTAATATCATTTCTCCACCATGTTCAGAAAGCCTGTCTCAAGTTCTCTAGGTTCTTTCTAAATTAATCATTTCCTGGTAAAACAAAAGACATTCATGTTACTGTATTGGGTGGGGCTTCTTCTGAGCAGAACCCCCAGAATCAGTCTGAACTAGAAGTTCTGAAAGCATTTTGGTATCAAGTCTCTTTTGTACCCTTCAAAATAACTGAGGACTCTAAAGAACCTCAGTTTGTGTGGCTTTTATCTATCAACATTTTATCAATCAAAGATTAAAATTTAAAAAAATTTAACTATTTATTAATCAATTAAAATAAAAATAAATGCATTACACACCAGCATAAATAATAATCTTTTGAAAACTATTTTTTCCAAAATTTTATTAAAGGAGCATTGTTTTAATTTTTTCATATATTTTTAATATGAGGCTTAATCAAAGGTAGCTGTATTTTTCAAAATCTTTTCATGCATTCAATGTGATGAAATACAGKGTTTGGGTTGAAGAATATGAAGACTATCTGGCCCATACATTAATGAGAATGTTACCAAAATCTTGGTCCTTCGCCCCATGACAATCCAATAATAAAGATTAAGGTTTTGAGAAAATGGAAAAAGGAATTTATTGCTTTGCTAGCAAAGGAGAAACACAGGGGACTCCTGTCCCAGAGTCTATAATTCTCCCGTCAGAGGAAACAGTGAGTTTTTAAAAAGATGATTCAAAGGCTATAGTCCAGGTGTTCCCTGTCCAGAGTTGTAATTCACTTGCTAATTGGAGAGAGAGTCATTTCTTAGATCTTCTGGCACCATCCCTGAAGTCTGCAGTGTGACTTACTTTGTTCTTGTGGAGGGTGTGTGCCAAGGGACAGAAAAATCTGGATAAAATGGGGGAGAAAGGTAATCCTAATTTCCCTGAGATTAGGGAAGGGGTGTGGAAGAGAAGAAGAAAAAGAAATATGTCCATTTTTAAAATAAGTCACAGCGGCAGAGCAGCAAGGGCTATATTCAAAGCATGAAGTGGACCACCATTACAAGAATGTCAGAAAGAGGAAATAGAGAAAGAGGAAGAAAGAATACTTGAGGAAACTGCAAATCACTAGTTCAGAGAAGGGACTGGATGATATTTTTGGTTTTCTTTGAAGTGCTAGGCTCACTTTGTTCATTTGGGGGAATATCAGCCAAATATCCACGTTTGAGTAACCATCATTTGTCCATYGTTCTTTCAGGGAAAGACTTGTTATCCATGAGAAAAGTGGCTAGTTCAGCTTGCAACTTAAGCAGCGACACAGGTGCTCTGCCTCACCAGCTGTGTCCAGCAGAAGCACCTCTGCATGTTACCCAATTGGTCACATGCGCATTAGAAGGGCTTTTGTTTTCAAGATTTAATAGCCATTTTTACTGATGCATCAAGGACGTTATTAAGTAAAACATTTTGCTGTTTTTAACTATAGCCATCTGGTGGTAAAGGAACCTATGACCACTAATGCCGTCTGGGGGTGTGGCTTGATTCAGTGCAAAGGCACCAACCTACTTACCCTCCACTGCTTTTCTATCATCAGTGCACAGGTCAACACAGTGAAAAAGGCAAATCATGCAAATACTGCCTGAGTGTTTTGTGATAATAGTTTTGGACCTCATGAATGCCCACCRAGATTTTTAGGAACCACCAGAGGTCCATGGAACACACTTTGAGAAACTCTATTGGAAACAGCTATTCTGAAGGGAAGCTGTCATGCACAGTCCTCTCATGGGATA